TCCAGTTCTGCTCAACGTGCTGCACAACATCATCCCCCCTTCTCTCAACCCTATGGTTTATGCACTCAGGACCAAAGAACTTAGGGAAGGTTTCCAAAGGTTGTTTTGTTTGGGTTTGCAAAAGAAATGATATGAAACATACCTTCATCATTAAGTACATGAAAGTTAGCTCATTTTAAGCTAGGTAAAATTCCAAAAGAAGCAGAAGAAAAAGTGAACACCATTGATATTGTCTTTTTATATTTTTATATCAATAGCTATTAAAGATTTCATAATGAAAAAAAAAAACCTCAATCCAGAAACCTTCACAGATACTCCAAAACTGGCAAGACTTGAATACATTAGTAGTTAGAAGAATCTGGAAGAACTGGCTAGGAACTCAAACAAATGCTTTGGAAACTACACAGTAGTGGCCCTTTGCCAGAATATGTTTTCAATTAGAATGAAGAAGGAACACTGTAGAGAAGCTGGCAATTTTCAGATATGATAGAATCCTGAAAAAAATAGATAACATTTAAAATAATTTCCTATCAGATAAATGATCTGCAATAAAATCTAAAGGAAGTTTTCATTGGAATAAAAGTTCAGAATCTAAAATGTTGCAATAGCAAAGTAGAATATTCTGAATATCATACAGAGATTAATGGAATATTTAGTTTTGGGGCCACTTCCTATATGATTTTCTTCCTCTTTTGGTATGTATCTATTTATATGCTTCTGTGAAATGTTTTTTTTAACTATTTGAAAATACCTCATGGGTCTTTTGTCTGTTCACACTGAGATACTTCAAGAAGACTTTTTAGGAAAAAAGACAACGATTTACATTACTATTAAACAGTCAACAAAATTAGAAACACTGCATTGACACTTTACAATAATTATTCCATACTCCATATTTAGATTTATATCATCATATTTATAATATCATCTGTGGGCACTATTTCTGAGTCAAGGTTTCAAATTCAATTATTTAGCTTGATTATCAGGTCTTTAGTATGTATTGTAGGATTTCTGCATTCTTCTTTGATATTGATTTTTCCTAGCTTTATTGAAGTTTGACCTAGAAATAAAAATTGTGTTTATTTAAATTATAAAATGTGATGTTTTGATATCTGACTGCGTTGTGTAATGATCACCCAAATCATGCCACGCACCATATTTATCACCTAGAGTGTTCACTCTTCTCCAGCATTTAGAAATCATTATTGAACCAAATCATATTGTTGTAAATGAGAACACATGCACAACATCATCAAGTTTCCAGAAAAAAATAATATAAGCATCTGCTCTCAATAGAAAGTTTCTCATGCGCCGGGGGCGTGACTGGCAGGGTACCACTGGGGATCGAACCCTGGCCCCTGTACTCTGCCTAAGCAGACACTTTAGTCCAATGAGGTATCTGGCTGACTCCAAAATTTGACACTTTTTGAAAGCATGCAGTTCAATCTTATGTCACATATTGCATAACTATATCCATTAATCTGAGCAACAGATTTGATGATAAAATAGATATCAATCACTGTTCTAGTATATGTGCTGCCGAAGTGAACACTCAATCACTGTTAACCAGCTAATTTTGTTTTGAAAATCTGTATATGTTATTTTGTTTCTGTCTTTGCTTTTGTTTTTCTTGTTCCTTTTTTTATTCTTCAAAGTAAAAGAAAATTATAATCAAAAAAGAAAGTTTCTAAGTCGCGTCCTTGGTAAATAGGCAATGGCATAGCTGAATGACAATGAAAAAGCCAAAGTTAAATTGTCAAATATCCATTGGGTGAATTAAGTGGGAGTTTAGTAAGAAGGTAATCAGATAAAAAATGTCATAAAAGTTTAGCAGCCACTGTACTGGTTAAATTAACTGTGTCAACTTGCATAGTGTAAGGAATGTCCTGGGCATTAGCAAAGCACAGCACTGTGTCGTGGCCATGCCAGCTTGACCTGTGCTGTGTATGACTCTGTTTCCCTTCCTGTTGGCACTGTTCCCCTGGTCTGCCTCCCAGCCTCTGTGAAGTGAACGCCCTTGCTCCACCACATCCTTCTGCCATGATATTTCTCTCTTGGAGACCCCTGTACTGAGTTCCGAAACGTGAATCAAATAAATTCTGTTATGTCTCAAGAAAATTGACTGACATAGAAAATCGGTAGGAGAGAAATGTTATTGTGACTCTATCTGGTATTGTGGTTCAGAAGCATTTATAATGGCTTGCATGTTCATAGGAAGGACTTTTGGAAGGTGATTACATCTTAGGGACAGTAACTTTAGCAATGTATTAATCCAATGGGGAGTTTGTAACTCAATGTCCTGTTAGAGTTTGAGTCCTGCAAGTCACTGTTGAGCATGAGGTGAAAGAGTATATTCTTTTCTCCAGCTCCTTTCTGTCTCTCTTCAGCACACTCTCTTCTTTTCCTCTTCCTTGATGGCACCATGTGAGCAACTTTACTCTGCCAACTTTGGACTGAAACATCTGAAACTGAGACCGGACATAAATATTTGCTAAGGTTGTATGTGTTGTGTATTTAATCATGGTAAAATAGAGCTGACTAACACATTTATTTTGGAATGCACTCACCTTAGAAAATTAAATTAATATAGGAATATTTATATTATGCTGCAGTGTGATTAATTTTTGCTAAGTTATAAATTATAAATGCACATATATTTCACATATATATTTTTAAAATCAAGGTTGAGGATTACTATAATTTCAGTGAATTGTAGAGCTATAGTTGCTTTCTAATCTCATTTAAAACATTTTTACCCCTTTTCACATGTTAATACTTTTTTATTATATTATGTACATTATATTCATGTTGTCACGTTTATAATTCAACACATGCTAATTTCATTATCTTTGGAAATAGATACAAAATTAGAATAACAGCTTTTAAAATTATGCATATTATCACACTTACTATTGAAAAGTTTGGCTATCCATCTCATTTTCCCTAATTTAATATCCAAGCAGCACGCTTAGCAATCCCATGTTAATAGAAACATGGAAGTTATGTATGATCCGATTATTTTTCTGTTTAGCCAATACATTGACATCCTGCACACCAACATCTTCTACACCTATCTCTCCAGGCAGTGGTTATCTCCTCAGCAGGCCCTCAGCAGAAGACCTGCAACACCTGCACTATCCATGTTTGCACCATTGTCACCACCTATACTATCCCCTACCTTTGTTTTCTCGTTACTTTGAGGACCACTCCAGCTCTCCATTTTTCCACATTGTTATAATAAATATCTACCTGCTCCTGATCCCTACTATAAATCCTGTTGCCTAAGTGGTGGAAAGCAAGTATTAGAAGATGATATGTTAAATATGTTAAATATTCTTTTAGGTTCTCAGGACACAGGATCCCATAGTTTATAAATAGATATTTTCCTGGTGAAGAGAAGAAAATAAGTAATTAAATCTATTTAGGCTCAAATTGATAAAACTCCTTTTTGAAGCGGTATTTTATCACACACCAAAGTAGTGGACCTTGTGGACCAGTGCCTTCCCAGTAAGTACTTCAAGAGTTCAACATCTCTAGCCTGCTCCTCAGCCTTCCTAGACATTTCTTAATTTCTTCTATTAAAAACAAAAACAAAGACAAAACTTATCTAATAAAATATACCAAATTCTCTGTAGCAAAATCTAATGAAAAGTGAATAAAGTGGAAGGCATAGTGAGTTTCGAGTATTTTCAAATAATAGTTGAAATTCAAGTTGAATCAGCAGTTGTTACTTTCCTGCAGTAATATTTGTTGTGTATTTCTTATCATTAGCAAAGTACTTCTTTCTTCAATAACTTTCCACTGAGTATCGACATAGAATGTAGCCCATGAAGTCAATTACGTACAGAATTGTGCACCTGCTTAGGCAGGCACAGGGACAGTGGTTTGATCCCTGGCATGCTATGCTGGCCCCACCCCCTTGGCCCACTGAGATGATGATTGATACTGATTGTGGTGATGTGAGCCTGTAATCTCAGCGTTTGGGAGGCTGAAAATAGGAGGATCACAATAAGCCTGATCTATGTAGTGAGACCTGTTAGACTTTGTACTAAATACACAAAAACAAACAATAACAATAACCCCCCAATCCCCCCAAAAAAAACCAGACTTATAACCTCTAAGTATCTCTTTGGAATTATATGAGGTTGAACCTGACTGTTCTACACAGGCCACAGACATGACTTTATATCTGAATACTTACATATTCAATTTCTTTCTGTCATCCAACTTCCAGGACCACAATGTGTGGTCAACAATGTGTGTGTGTGTGTGTGTGTGTGTGTGTGTGTATGTATGTATGTATGCATGTTATAAGCTGTTGGGGTATTGCTTGTTGTGTCCACACTTAGCTCCTATTGATAAGACAAACTACCAGAATCAATTTTTTTCAGAATAGTAGATATTAATCAGAAGCTTGTAGGAATAAGGGGGATCCTGAATCAAAGCAAAAATTCTGAATCTCTTGAAAAAAGATTTTTAGCACTGTCCAATACAGTGCTAAAATTCACATATTATAAAACTTACCATACTTACCTTTAAAAGGTTGTGTCACAACTTTTTTCAATTCCTTTGGTTATACACATGTAAGGGACACTTCTAACTGGTATAATTATTTTCATTTCATTTTTTTAAGAACTTCCAAACTATTTTACATAGTGACTACAACACATTTTACTAGCAATGTATGAAAATTTCAATTTTTCTATTCTGTTTAATTTTTATAGATTATACAAACCTTAGTAGGTGTGACATGGAATCACACTGTAGATGGATCTAGTTGTGCCATTTATCTATCTGAGTTCTAATATATCATTCGTTTCTAAATGGAGACTGTCTCTAATAGACATTTTCCTAAAGAAGATTCACAGTAAACAAAAAGTTCATGGAAATATGCTGGATGTCATTTGCTATTTGGGAAATTAAACCCCAAACTAGAATAGGATGTCATGGGGGGCCTCACTAGCTTGGCATCAAGGAGAAGAAAACTCTCAGCAAACTTCAAGAGCTGGCATGTGTTGGCAGAGGTGTATATTGCTCAAGGAAACACAAAGTGATGCAGCACTGTAGAGAACACCACAGAACACTAACAAGTTTATGGAAAATGCTGTGTTGCTCAGGAGCTCCAACACT